TTCATCATGTATATCATGTTGTACACTTTAAATATATACAAGAAAATCAATAACATGATACATAGAGTAATTAATGTAAATGTGTATAATGAATTTGAACTATATATTCACTGAAAGCAGCAAGCATATTTTATGTTATAATCAATATAGCATGAATTCATCTTTTGTTTCAACATTGATACATTTAATTCCTCTTGTTGAAAATATTTTTCCCTTTTATTTTCAAATGTCGTTTTTACTAAAAAAGGTGTGCTTTTAAGATACTGGAAATTAATCATACTCAAGGACACAAACTATATTAACAAAGTTTCTGCTTTCAATATTGACAATCTAGGTAGAGAAAAATTTAATGCTAAGTGAAGTTAGCCAATTCCAAACAATCAAATGCCGAATGTTTTCTTTGATATAAGGAGACTGATTTATAGTGGGATAGGGAGGGTGAGCATGGGAGGAATAGACGAACTCTAGATAGGGCAGAGGGGTGGGAGGGGAAGGGAGGGGGCATGGGGTAATGAATGATGGTGGAATGTGATGATCATTACTATCCAAAGTACATATATGAAGACATGAATTGGTGTAAATATACTATCTATACAACCAGAGATATGAAAAATTGTGCTCTATATATGTAATAAGAATTGTAATGCATTCTGCTGTGATATATAAATTTTAAAAATTTACATAAAAATAATAGCAGACATACAGGATGTTTCTGCATGGTGACTCTTTGGGGTTTGGGGCATGTAAGATCAGGCAGGAGGAATGAATTTTATTATAAGAACCAAGGCATAGAAAAATGAAGAAAAAAAAAATTATATGAAAACCCCATATGGAAAAGATGAGGCACAAAAAAGTAGGAAAATGTAAATTTAAATACCTCTGGAAGTATTAGTTCCAGGTGATAAACCATATGAGCTTTTTGGGAGGAATGTGGTAAACAATTTGAACTCTATATTGTATAGCTATTTATATCATAAAACTGCAGTCATATTATTTACAGCTTTTTATATTCCTTTTAGAAAATTATCTAAATTTTTAAGATCCCACATATTTGGCTGTTTTTATTTCCTTTATTTCTTTTCATTTCATTTTCTCTGTGTTTGCTCATTTTAATAACATTTTGTGTAAATGTTTTAATATAACTACCTACATCTGGCAGATTATTTAGTAGTAAAAAACATTTAAATTTCCCAAAATAGCATTTTTTTTACCCTATTCCTTTTAACTCCATTTTTTTAGGAACCTATTCTATTTAAAATTTTGACTTTATTGGTTTGATATACTTTAAAATCTCGCAAATTTCAAGCTTTAGTATTTTAGATGTCTTTCTTAAATTGAAAGGTTTATAATTCCATTTCATGACAAAAACACTTATTTTTGGTGCAATCTAAGCTTTTTGTTTTATTATTTAAATTTA